TCCAGATATAGATCACTGGAATGGAGTTGAGAATGTCTTGCAATTTTTGCAAAGTATCATAGGCCTCATGCTGAGTAAGAAAGAATAAGTACTCTCAAATAGTTGTGGGTACAAATGTTAAGTTTTGGCGAGATGTGTAGTGAAATCCACAGTAGTTGCTAACACTCGCAGTTGGAGTATTATTATGGAAAAGCTCCAAAGAAACGGTTATGGTGTCATCAATGATGCATACCATTATATAGCTTGACATGAGGCTTAAGGAACAGACAAAAGGAGGTTAAGGGAATTTATACCCAGATTTAACAATGGTAGACAACAGCAATAACCATTTAGAGTAAGTTAACTCCTAAGACAATAGGTCAAGTGTGCTGCCAAACACATTGACACTAAGTTATATATTGTAAAGGAGAAAATCCGGAATCATTTTGAAAGCATTGAGCATATAAGTACCAAGCAAGTATTTGCGGATCCGCTTACCAAAGGCTTACCACCCAGTGCGTTTAGAGAACACACAGTCGACATGGGTTTACGGGAAAGCCTATGATTTCTGGATACTAAGGGCCTAGTTGAGTATCTGTTTCAAAACAGAGGTGCATTATAGCTGTTAAATCTAATGGCAACTGACCTTGACGATGAGGCACGCTCTATGCACTGATCTGTGATGGAATGGGAAAAGATAAAGAAGGTTGAGTTTAAGTCATAAGGTGAGATCAAGGGGGAGAATGTTAGGATGATCTCCACCAGTTGGCCCAACGGCCAATTGGGCCCTTGATCCTTGCCCTGATCGGGGACGCTCAGCCGATTCTAAGTGGCTGATGGGCACCCGTCGCGCAGCTCTATTAAAAGGGACGATGGGGGCTGGGGCACACGATACGAGGTTTCCCGTAGCCGCCAGTGCCCCACCGTGATGTCCTAACCCCAATCCGATCTAGAAGGGGAGCTATAAGCGACGGGAAGTCCACGGCCGCCTCTGCACCACCCGACGTCTACGCCGCCGCGGGACTCCCCTGCTTCTCCTTCTCCGACGCCCTACATCACCAACATGGCCATGGACGGATCATCCTCCTCCAAGCCCCGACAGTCAGAGATCTCCTACACCTCTCTCCCTCATTGTCTCTCTCCCGAAGTATGCTCTAGGTCTAATTGAGTCAACCAGTAACGAATACACCCTCTGATCTGCACCTAGAAGGATCCTAAGATTGTAACAAGGGGAAATTATGATCGCTCTTCTTCGTCAATGGTTTATGCTTCTTTAATCTTGATTCAGACATAACATTGGGTTGCAGGCATTTCAGGGTCTGAGGGCAGCGGCAGCTCTACCGTTCCCGTCGTTCTTGGCGGAGGTGAGTAGGGGGGGATTGTACGCGTTCCTCTATGGTTTATGCTTGTCGGATCTTGATTTCATACATAACATTGGGTTGCAGGTATTTCAGGGTCTGCGGACAGTGGCGGTCAGGTTCGCCCAGGAGCGCTTCAGAAGGGGTCTATAAGAGGTATGCGACTAAGCGTTTGGGTCCGGTATTCGTTAGATCACCTGTTCTTATTCTTTGTTCTTTGATGATGGTTCTTGTTCTTTGTTCTTCGATGATGGCCAGCCAAACAGTTTTGCTCGATTCTTGCAGCTGGTGGTACAGACTACAGAGAGAGGGAATGGAAGCCGTCAGAAGGAGCGCCAGCTTATCGACCTCTACGATATAGGCCTCATCAACAAAACTGCTCTAGCCGCTGTGGGAGGAGAGATGCCAGCCTTTCTTCGCGTCGCTGCTCATAATGAGGCTATCAAGGCGGCCGCTCCGTGAATGGAAGCCGTCGCCAAGAGCCTCTGTTAGAGACGATAGGCAATATAAACGACGAAGAACAATAAATCAAACACAGGGGACATGAAATTTTAACGTGGAAAACTCTCCCAAGGAAGAAGGGAAAAGCCACGGGCACCAGCCAGTAAATCTTCACTATATCGGGTGAGGTTACAAACGTCGGGGGTTTACAACTTTTCTTTTATCCCAAGACGACGGCTTACAGGAGGTATATATATATATATATATATATATATATATATATATATATATATATATATATATATATATATATATATATATATATATATGAAAACCTAATAGGCGGTGATCCGGGTGCTGCCAGGACCTCCAGGCGTCCCATGCGCTAGGGAAACATAATAGGCGATGATCCGTACCGCGGGGGGCTCCGCTTCGCTTCGGTCCAAGCCTCCCGATGACGGGCCTCTCTTCGCTCCGTCAAAAGTTATCCTTTTCTTATATGTAACTAAATTTGGATCACAACTCTAACAGCAGGACAGGAGGCCTTCGAGCTCGAGCCCCTAGTCCAGCTCCGGCAGCAGCCCCAGCTGCAGACCGACCCCGAGCCCCAGCCGCAGCCCCAGCTCAAGCGGCGGCTGCTTCTCCAGCCAGACTGATCCTGTCCGCGCCGCCACATGAACAGCGGCACTGTGGCACCCCGCTACCTCCGCAAGTGCATGCGCTGCTCCAAGAGTACATACTTGTGTCCCTTTTGCTTCCTAGCTGCAATCAAGGTTTTTTTATCGGAAATAAAAATTTATCGGAGGTCATGGATAAACAGGATATATAAGAAATATCGGACCAAATTCAAAAAAAATCAAATTATTTTTGAAATTTTTTTGTAGAATTTAACTTGAAACTCTTCCTAAGCTATTAAACAGCACTTGTTCACATATAAAAACAAGAATAAAACATTATAAGTGCGGAACTGTAGCACGGGTGAATTTGGGCGTCTGTGTGGGAGAAGGAAAACCCCGAAAAAATTGGCTGGTATCTAATTTTATGGGACTCTGTGGATAGAACGGAGATTTCGGTGACTTTCAACGGATAAAAAAAACCCTGCTGCAATACCAAAGACCGAGTGCTCACAAGTCATGTCCCGTCCTGCGGAGGAAGAGCAGGTACGCTGGTGCTTGATCACGTATGCTCATGTGACATTTGCCATGATTGTCCGATGTGCGATTTAGCGAAGCTGCCGCGGCCATTACCACGCAGGGATGCCGCTTGTCCTTGTTGTTTAGAGAATGTAGGTAATGCCTCGAGTCATTTATGTTTGTGCTTAGAGTGCAAGCATCTGCCTGGCTCTGCATGCCCATACTGCGCACTTGCTGAAGTACCTTCTCCGATCAATCCCTTTGACCTCATTAGGATAAGAGCTTATTCTCTGAAGTAGTTGTTCAATTTACATTCTGAATTGCGTCCAGATTTGGGCATCTAAGATTGTTTGTATGGTGGATAATACAAGTGCAAGAATAAGTGTATTTTCAGTAGCAGATGTAAACGCCTGGTGTGCCAAAGTATGGGCTGTGATATTCAGTTGGCGTGAAACTTTGTGAACCGTGTAATCTTTTTGTTGCATAGCCTCCAAAAATCTTGAGGTCTATGTTTTGATATTCCAGTGCGGAGGGTTGAAGAGATCTCTTGAATTGTAGAAGTTTGGCATGGACTGGTTATCAGTGAGAAAGTTTACTGAAGATAGAGACAATTGTTTTGCCACTCTTGCTGCTGCAGCTGCTTCAGCCATAAGCACCGACTGGATTCCTGCTATTCTAGCTTGGACATAAAGTGTTGTAGATGATGTGTTGCCTGGGTTGAGGAGGAAGACTCCCAGCCCTGCTGTTCTTGTGGATGCGCTGTTGTCCGACAGTAGGGATGCATCTGTGTAGCATCGAGCTCCATGTAGGACGGCAGGCAGGTGGAGATTATTTGTTTGGCCCCTACAATCTGTTCCTGCATTAGTAACTGACATACATGACTGCGTGGGCAGTGGTTGTTGATGTGGTGTGCGCTGCGAGTCTCCTTGTTGATGTTGCAGCTGGTTATCTGCATTGAGCACCATGTTTGCAGTGTGAATGTCTGCAGCAGCTGCGTTGTGGATTTGCCAAGTGCTCCAGGTTTTATTGTTAAATCTTTTATCATTTCGAGCTTTCCAAATATACGCATTGTTGTTAAAATAGAGTGGAAATGATCATCGGATAACAAGCTAAAAAACAACTACAAAACTGCAACTTTATACCTTCAGATTTAAGGTTCAGCAAGTCTTGAAAGTTCAGTAATACTTGAGCTGCAGGTATCTGAAAAGCTCTTCCCTCCAAGCATTTCTAAATCGCCCATCTTAATATCCGAAACAAGATAACAAGAAGCTTCCAAGAAGCAGCGAATAGCAGATGTACTGGCACAAGCAAACACTACACAAATTTGCAAGGATCATATTGAAATATGATAACTGACTGTATCATTACATTATGGACAGAACTTGAGGACTATAGGTTCTAGACAAACAGAACATGAAGTTCAGAAACATACAGATCTTCTGAAACAAAAAGGAAAAAATAACATAAGAGGATTCCGATATAACTGACTATATAGCATTACATTACAGGCAGGACGTGAGGACTAGGTTTTAGACAAACGTAACATGTTATAAGTTCAGAAACATAGAGCGAAGACAGGAAATCAGCCTAAGTACACTACTCATTGAAGGAGACTGTATTTTCTTTACATGTAAATAGTGCCACTGAGATTCAAATACAGATGTGCGTCCATAGTTTCTCAAACAATCTGCTGGCTTGCTCATGAACAATTATTACAGAAAAATGGTTGTGCATTGGAACTCTTGTGTTCATTTCAGACTACCTGAAGGACAAATTCTGGTGATACTGATACCTGTCGTATGACAGATAACCCTTGTCACTCAGCATATAAAGAACACACACAATCCATGAACACAGTGAAATCAGCAGATCCAGATAAAACGCAAAATGATAGAAACTAATTATGTACGCCAAGACAAAACCATCAACCATGTTTACATTACAGTAATGAAGCTGCTACACAGCAAGGCAGCATATGTTTTGAGGAACACTATGGGACTCGATCATAGCAAAAACTTGGACAGAAGAGACTCGACCTCACATCAGACATGGCAAACTGAACTCAGTACCCCAGCCCCCGCCCAGACCTTTAGTAGCCACCACGGAGACGTAGAACCAGGTGGAGTGTAGACTCCTTCTGGATGTTGTAGTCCGCCAATGTGCGGCCATCCTCAAGCTGCTTACCAGCAAAGATCAGACGCTGCTGGTCCGGCGGGATGCCCTCCTTATCCTGGATCTTTGCCTTCACATTGTCGATCGTGTCAGAAGACTCGACCTCCAGGGTGATGGTCTTGCCAGTCAGTGTCTTCACAAAAATCTGCATACCACCACGGAGGCGGAGCACCAAATGGAGGGTAGACTCCTTCTGAATGTTGTAGTTGGCAAGAGTGCGGCCATCCTCGAGTTGCTTTCCAGCAAAGATGAGGCGCTGCTGGTCTGGTGGGATGCCCTCCTTGTCTTGAATCTTTGCCTTTACGTTATCAATCGTATCAGAAGACTCAACTTCAAGTGTGATGGTCTTCCCAGTCAGAGTCTTGACAAAGATTTGCATGCCTCCCCTTAGCCTGAGCACAAGGTGAAGGGTGGACTCTTTTTGAATGTTGTAGTCAGCCAAGGTGCGGCCATCCTCGAGCTGCTTCCCAGCAAAGATGAGGCGTTGCTGGTCTGGTGGAATGCCCTCCTTGTCTTGAATCTTGGCCTTCACATTGTCTATCGTGTCTGAGGCCTCGACCTCCAGTGTGATGGTCTTTCCAGTCAGGGTCTTCACAAAGATCTGCATGCCACCCCTGAGCCTGAGGACAAGGTGGAGGGTAGACTCCTTCTGGATGTTATAGTCGGCGAGCGTCCGCCCATCCTCGAGCTGCTTGCCAGCAAAGATCAGACGTTGCTGATCCGGTGGGATTCCCTCCTTGTCCTGGATCTTTGCCTTGACATTGTCAATTGTGTCCGAGGACTCAACCTCGAGGGTGATGGTCCTGCCAGTGAGGGTCTTCACAAAGATCTGCATCTGTAGAGACAAAAATCACATGGTAAGCTACCTTAAAGAGATAGGCACAGAAAAACCTAGTGCTTCGATGAGAATGATTCAAATCTCTACTATGAAACAGGGGTAACAGCAAACAAAGAACACAAACATCTGAACCACGAATTAGATGAAACAACACCTCATGCATACCAACTGCCAATGTGCTAGTTACATTGCTAATTTAGCAAGACAACTCAACATACACAAGCAGAGAATATAGAGACAGGATTCAACATTTATAATATGAAAGGGGTCAGTGTATCAACAAGAAATAAGTTTAGCAGTACTTCCCAAAATTTATACGTATCCTTCTGACTAAGGACTAAGGTGATCAGAAACAGACCAATCTAAGGTAAAATAGGCAGGGAAGATGGAAGGCAAGATTTAACCATCTTAATTTTATTTAACCATCTTAATTTTTTTGTAACCATCTTCATTTTGAGCATATGCTAATCAACGAATTGAATTTAAACCAAAGTATACCTACAGGATTTGTGTCAGAGGCAACATGACACTATGACAGGCATGGTTTAAACTTTTTAGCTTTGATATTGATATTGATACTACACTAATTAATCTATCGAACTGAAACTGAAACGGTGAAACCCGATTGACATACACATGACTGTGTTTTGAGGTAAAACTATATAGTAATGACTTAGCCATAATTTAGATGATACACCAATTAATCTATATGACAGGCATGGTTTAAACTTCTTAACTTTGATATTGATAATACACTAATTAATCTATCGAACTGAAACTGAAACCTGATTGACATACACAGGACTGTGTTTAGAGTAACAACCATCTTGATTTTCTTTAAGTAACAACCATCTTTTTTTTACGTAATAAACATCTTAATTTTGAGCATACTTTAATCAACGAACTGAATTTGAACCAAACCATACCTACAGGACTGTATCAGAGGCAACATGACGCTATGACAGGCATGGTTTATAAACTTATTAACTTTGATACTGACAACACACTAATTAATCTATCGAACTGAACTGAAACCTGATTGACATATACAGGACTGTGTTCTGAGGTAACACTATTACTATAGTAATGATTTCGCCATAATTTAGATGATACACCAATCAATCTACTGAATTCAAACATAATTCTATGGTATATGCAGGATTACGTCCGAGGCATCAAGATAGGAATGATTTGACAATCTTAGTTTTGAGATAATACATCCATCGATCTTTTGAATCGAACCCTAAGTCTATGACATATATAGGATTTCGTTCCAGAACAGAAACAGTAACGATCGGACATCACAGACCATGCGAGCAATTAATAAGGATCTTCGTACGGAAGGCGCAATGGGGATTCGGCCATACACGACCCCACAAATCGAGACAGAAGGGGGACGAATCAAAGGGGGGGCATACCTTGACGAGACGATCGGGAGGGGCGATCCTTGCTTCGTTGGCTTTCGCGGCGGCGGTACGGTGACTTCGCGATTGGGAATTTGGGATTGACGGAGACCCGCCGGTTGGAGAAATCTGAGGCCGGAGGTGGACTTTATAGCGGGGGAACGGAGGGTCTAGGTGACGCCACGGCTCACGGCAACGGAATCACACGTGAGCGAGAGGCCGTCGGCCCGTCGCGGAGTCCGCGGTCCGCCCGCCCTGCCCCGCAGGCCACAGCCTGACTGGAACCAGTTGCGTGATGGGCTTTCCAGGGCCCCCGCTTAGGCTACGACTGCCCACATATTAGTGCAGCAGCTCAAACACTCACTGCCATCACGGTTATTTTTGCAAAAACGCAGCTGACAGACAGTAATTTTTTTTTGTTATACAAACACGATTACACGAAACATCACTATTGATCTTCTGTATCCGTATATCATCCAAGCACCACTTTTCTTTGGATTCTGCAGGCACATACTTCCCACAGCAAACACTCGAGTATCAGTACTCTATCACACATGCATTTCACACACGGTTACTGGTAAAGCACGCCTTATTCATAAACGTAACGGCACGGTTGGCGTGCGCCCGGGTACGCGCGCTAGTACTAGTTCACGGCCACGGGAGGGGAGAGAGACACTTGAGCACAGCGCTGGCCACGGCCGCGCTGGCCCTTACAGCCCACGGAACCGCGGGCGTGAGCGCCATCAGGCACAGGCACGCGCCGAGGATCCACAAGAGGAAGCCGATGAACGCAGCAAGTGTGGTGTTGGCCGCAGCAGGGCTGTTGGCGTTGGCGGGAGCAAAATCAAATGCGGTTGGGATGGTGATGACGAGCGCGCCGCAAAGCAGGAGCGCGCGCCCGGCGTCGAGGCAGAGCTGCTGCTGGTTGCGGCGGTCCGGGTCGGGGACGAGGAGGACGTTGGCCGGCTGCCCCGGCTGCTGGTGATTACGCGCCGGCGCCGCGCCTCGATACTCAGCCATTGCTGAAATGCTGCTCAAATGCACTTTGCCCTGCTTTAGCCTTTACCCTCTGAGCATATATAGCGCGTCTCGTCTCGTCTTCGACCAAAGCTGTTTGCTTGGTTGGTGGCGCGCGGAGCAGATTGCATTGCCAGCAGCCTCAAATAGACAACTATATATAATTCCTTGGTTTCATCCCCAGCGAAAAACAAACTTTGGTGTTGGTGGTGACTGGATTATCGAAAGCGCGCCGTACATGGAGAATACGACAACAAAGAGATGTCCTTCTTGCATACTGTTAATATTTTGAATACGTTCTTGACAGTCCCGGCCCCGGCCCTGGTAGTAGGCCACGAGGTGCGACGGTCAAAGGACCTAAGCGGAGGAGGGTCCAAGCCCAGATATACAAACCTCAGGTCTTATAGTCTATTAGACATTAGCAAACTAATAAGAAAAGAGACATAGAACTGGCCAGACGGTCTAAAAAAACAATATCGACATTTCTTTCCTAGTTTTCTTTCCACACGGCCCTCGGATAGAGAGGATGCGAGGAGTCACACTGCACACAACACACTCTAATCGTGAATTCGCGACGTGCGCCTTACACACGTGGAGCTGGCGAGCCGCACCGCCGCGAAGAGCTAGACTAGCGGAGACATGGACACGGTGTACGAGGACAGCGACCAGGCAGGGCTCTACGACGATGACATCTTGATTCTTGACTTCTTACGAATTGCGATCATCGATCAGTTGTTTAGGCCCAAGGTATTTTTTTTCTTTTTTATTTTTAATCCAAAATAATTATTTGTATAGTATTCCAGACTTCTAGTACTTTGTGCCCATATAGTCATATTTTTCTTCTAATTTAGGTGTTAGAATTTTAGAATGTTATCTGAGAAACATTTGTCATGGGTGAGAAAAGAAAACGAATGTATTGTTTTTTTAATCTACATTGTTCCTCGATAATTATCATATATCTACAAATATATTGCTTAATCTATATTATTCCTCGATAATTATCAGACATGTTAAATTAAAAATATATTATTGAATTTTATTTCATTTTACAAATAAAATTATTATCTATATATTATAAGATTTTATACATGGTCAATAGACGAACAAAGGGTCCTTGAAATCCCAACACCGGCACTGGTTCTTGCAAAACAATGTAGCGATAATGGGTGAAAAGCCAGCTGCAGCCGCTGCGGCACGGCAGAGGGAGATGATAAAGCTGCTGGCTGGAAGGACGACGGATGCGGATAAAGAGCTCTTCCCCCGCTCTGGTTGTAGGGGATCGGAAGGACGGATCGAGAGGAAAGCTAGCTAGCTAGCTCTTTATTCCATTCCTTGCTCATCTTTGCTATCTGTGAGAAAGAAGTGGAAGAGAACCCACGCTCACGCCACCACGCACCGCAGCTTCGCTACGGGCCTCCCGTGGTTTTGCCGCGACGATACCACTGAACGCTCAGGCTAACTCCAACACAGCACGCTCGCTCACCCAGCCCGGTGCTCCGCGTAGGCAGCAAATTAACCTCCAGTTCACGCAGGACCACTGTTCTACGGCGCAGTATAGTTAGATCCGGTTCAGATGCATCACCTGCTAATTGTTTTTGCAGAATGTGCGTGCCGCACACAAATGAACCACAACAACTTAGGCTGAGTAGGGTGTGCTTAGCTGTTATTTTTTTTAGTTTGGTTCAATCAGTGAACTTGTTTGGATCCAAGAAGCTACGGAGTAACTGTTACCATAATTTATAGATCCAAAAATGGTCTAGAGAGTAACAAGGTCTTGATCCGACAAAAGTTTCAAACGCCCACTTTGGTGTATGCGTTATGGTACATGGTGTGATGACTCTGTCACGAAATTTCATAGTGATGAGAGGGAATGACTCGAAAAGGTTCCGACAAAAATAAAAGTTGCTTTTTAGCAGAACGCTAGAGAGGAATAGCTCTACGTCCTTCCGAGTTTCCGACCTGCGTGGGCAACATTTCTTAGATGATCGAAAACAATGACAATGACAACTTGTACTGGGGCTAGCCTCATGTGTCTAATGTAATTATCATAGTTGGTGAGGCTAGAAATATAGTCGTCGTCACCGTTGGCGTATATTCTTATTGTATTGATTGAATTAGCCGGTGGTCATTCAAACCAAGCAATAATCCATTTTCATGCATATTACTGACACCACGAGTCCCCAAAGGTCGTACTACAAAAAACCATAGCACACTTTCGATTAAATTGTAATCAGCATCAAGAATTTTAATACTAAATGACTATCAAACATATATATAATTATTATATTAGCTCTTATAACGGAAGCTCTTGTCTGATCATTGGATAATCAACATTCTTGAAAAGGGTATTAGTATTTCCATGACTGGAGTAACTAAATTAAAGTCAATATTTGACTACAGTTTCTGGACATATGAAACCGTAAACAAACATCAGGCACCAAGAAAATTGATATTGAATTCAATAGTCTATGAAATAAACGACTAACAAACTTATATATAATTATTATATTAGCTTTTTATGACAGAGGAAGCTGTTGTCTTATCATTGGACAAAACAACATTCTTGAAAATGGTATAAATATTTGCATAACTGATGAAACTAAATTACAGTTAATATTTCACAACAGCTTCACGATACATGGAACGGTAAACAAACATGTGGACAACTCACAGACATTTTTCATCATTATTCGTGAGAAATGCCAAATCAAAATTTCTCAGAAAGGGCATAAATATTGAATAATACTATACAAGGAACCTGAACTCTGACATATGAAATCTGCATTTTACAAAGTTAACTTATTTAGTTCCATAATCTAAAAACCTCAATCTAAATCACTTAATATAACCGACTATCGAGAAACTGTTTTTGCCGTAAAGTATTGTAAAGCTGGCACTTAAAAAACAAAAAAAAAAATCAAAAGCAAACAGAAGAACATACCTTTATTATGCATCGCACTTTGTTGTTGACCATACTGCACGGGAACAGCGCCGTTTTTCTGATTCCCAGATCTGAAGATGAATCTGCCGCCATGATTTGGAACAACCATGTGCGGAGATCCAGGAGCGATTTGATCCGCTGCCGGAAGAATCCTACCTCCTACGTTGAACTTCATTGGTGGTTGGTAAAACAGCGGCGCGTTGTTGAATGCAGGAGTAACCCAGACTGGAGCGCTTGACCTCATCTGGGGTTCTTGAGTAGTGTTATTTGCGTACGCTCCATAAATCGGGTGGAAATACGCATATGGCTGAACCCCATCGCCGTGAATAGTGTGCGGAGCGGTAGGAAGCATTGGAGGACAACGAAGAACAAGGTTTGGGGATCTAGGGTTTCGGGGCAAAGCACCAAGCACTGCTTTGAGAGCTCGGTGGCCTGTGGACGCTGAGCATCAGGGTAGCACAAGGAGTTCAAAACACCAAGGGAGAAGAGCACACGCAGCAGCAGTGCCGGAGAGAGAGGAGCAGCGTCAGAGAGAGGGGAGCAGCGCCGGCGAGGAGCTCACGAAGAGACAGAGAGGAACGACGCTTGAGAGAGGATAGGAGGAAATAGGACCCAGACAAAACGAGCCGAGTCGAGGCTGGGGAGCCAGACGAAACGGAGCCGAGGGAGCGAAGCCGTGAGTCTTGCATGCACGGGGTGCTCCAGTGCGGAAAAGTGGACATGCACCGCGGGACCCACGGGGAAAAGCAACCAACCAGAGCTTGCGAATAAGCTTCGCGGGCGCTCATACACAAGGTTTTTTCAGTCTGATTTTGTTTACACAGATTCGTTGCCGGAGATGACGACGGGGCCAGAAGAAGATACTGAGCGTTTGCTGGCAGCCGCGGATAGGTTCGACATGCAGGAGCTCAAGCTGATTTGCGAGGAGATACTGAGCAGTGACATCAACGTGAATACTGTCACGAAGAAATTGAGACTGGCTGTACAGCACCAGTGCCATACGCTTAGGGATGCCTGCATTGAGTTCCTTGAAGATCCTCCTGTACTCGAAGCGGTCATGGCGACACATGATGACATACTCGAGCTTATGGCTAAAAATTGCCCTATGCTTTTATTTACACCAAAATTTAAGAAGAAGAATTACAGGACCTCGAAAGCTCTCAAGATCGTGTCATCAAGAAATCGATTGCATAAAGGTCGGTATCAGCTGATTCGAATGCAGTACTGGAATCGGCTCTCTTCAGGTAACGCCAGCAGATAACGATAAAAGCTACGGTTAGCGTCAGGAAAAACATGTTGTACTCTAAAAAAGGGAAAGATTATGGTCCAAGTTATCACAAATTAGGAATGTTTTCTATTATGCCAAAGATTGTAATGGGTCGTGCTTAAGTAGGATTCATGCGTAGGTTCCGGGTATAAATATTGGACTCCGGCTATTGTAAAGGACACACAATCAATCAAATATAAGTTACTTACTTTTTCGGTTCCGGCCACCCCTTAGGAGTAGGAGTAGAGTAGATCTCAGCGAGTTCTTCTGCGAGCAGGGCTGCATCGGTCCGGTCGACCTCCGGCTTGTCTGTAAGTACCGTCATGGCTTATACTTCTGTTCGTATGGCTGTATCGATCCGGTCAACCTCCATTGCGACTCTGATATAAGCTAGTTATCGACTCTTGTCTAGTTCAAGTACGGCTGCATCGATCCGGTCGACCTCCACTGCTCGAACTAGATTAATGTCAAGTTATCGGCTCTATCTAAGGGTGGTGTCCTTCGGGTAGATTCATTAAGTTACCGATCTTGCTGATGTTTTCATTGTTATTAGTTTACAGCAACATCAATTCGCTCGGTCGAGATCGAATTAGATCGGCCAAATATCCATAGGTTTGTCCATACGAAATAGTCGATTGTTCACACGCTGTAGTCCTTTTCATCTGAATCGGCTATTTTAGCCGATTCATCCTAGCCTTCACGTATGGCATGTCTTTCAAAAAGCCTGTCGAAGTACAGAAGTTTTTACGGATTCTTCAGTTTTAGTTTGTTACTATCATCATAGCTGTCGTCGAT